TACCATTTAGAACCCCACTGGAAAATCAAAATTTGTTGAATAATTCATTCTTAGTTGGGGTCACACCACAACTCTTCAAGCCATAAACTATGATTTATAAATCATAGTTTTATAACTATGGCTAGTTTCCACATAAACACAAACAAAAAGCCAGTAAACAACATTCAGATTAGCTTAAAGTGCAACATTTGCTGGGGGGGTTAGTGAAGGTGTAATAGCTCTCATTATCAGAATTTGGCTGTGTCAAAGTTACTTCCTCCAAATTTCCCTAGAATAGGGACGTCAAACTTATGGCCCATGGGCCGGATGCATCACACTCTGGCCACACCCACGCCTGGTTTAGCGAAGGGGAAAAAAGTTGTGATATGTCATGTGATGCCGCCGTGATGTGAGTTCGACACCCCTGCCCTAGAATGCTAACTTTACTAGTGTCTCAAATTTTCTACTTTTAAGTGAGAATTAGGAATTTCTGGTGATTCCAAGTACCCCCTTGTGGGTTTTTTTAATTAAAATTGTGGAAACCAAAAAATCAATTTTGGAGAGTTATCTGCTCATGTAGTAATACGCTACAGAAGATACACTAGGAAATAATAACTTGTTGAAAAATAAATTGGATTCCTGTACAAGATTTCTAGCACTGAATTTATAAGCATGGATGTCTGAATCCGTCCATTTTATAGACTGCTGCTGGTGCTAACTTGCTTTGACAAGTACTGAAACTACTCAGCTTAGCCAATTAACATGTAGAAGCAGTATTTTCAGTCCCATATAACATAAAATATAACAGGTAAATTCACCCATCATATGAAGACCAAAATAGGCAATAGAAATGATTTAGCATACTAGAAGGTTGCATCCTGCACCAAGCCATAAAATTGTTTGCTTGCTCTTAACTTAATATGTTGTATATTAATCAGCCATTGTATTTTATAAAGCCCAATTTATTGCTTAGCATGCTCTATGAATCCGGCTACTTGCCAATAAATCATTGTTAAAACCAACCATAGATTGATACAATATGGGATCACTGATATGTGAAAGAGAGGCTGGATTCACTGCACACATAATTTTGCTACTGATTTAATTCATTTAATCAAACTAGCACTATGGCAATTGGTCCAACATATGTGGCCACAACAAAAATAATAATCTCATGATGGTTAAAACTGAAACAACTTCACAAATGCAAGTGCAGCCACCAAATTTTGAAGTGACCTGGTTAAGCTTGTTCAAATACTGCCATTGTGAGGAAATAGGGCACAGTGTGTGAGCTTCACTTCCTTATCTTGATGTGAGAACAGAACAGAACCAAGTGTGCTGTTCTGAGCGTGTTGGAGGACAGTAGTATAAAAATGTAACAAATGCCAACATTTATTGGATGATGCCAATCACGGAGTGAAAATTGGACTAGAAAAGCAAACAGCAACAGTAGGTGACCTTTTGAATTGCAAAGACTGAGCTTTAGACAAGACTGGCATGGTGAAATTGGCTCATTTCTTCTATGCTCCTTTCTTCTCTTTTACACACCCATTTTCTCCCCTTTTTCTTCTGATGGTTTGAGCCACAGATGAAATTTCTGTGTTACCCTCATCCATTGGCAATGGTATTGCCTTTACATTAGAACATGCAAAGTATTTAGTTTTGGCTTTCAGAGGGACTTGGACAGAGGGTTTCCTTTAAGGTGCTGAATAGAGAAACTAAAGAAGGCTCTTGCAATCACATTCCCGCAACTTGACCACATACACACAAATGGGAACTTCCCACTTGCAGTAGATTGGTTACCCACAGAAAGTATTTATTTCGTTTATGTATATGGCACCCCTTTCCCAAGATTCAAGATAGTTTACAGACATAAAATGAAACAAAATTTAATACAATGTAGAGGGGGGGGGAAGCACATGCATTATCAAAGCTGGGTTAGTAAGATAATATTCCAAACAAAAAGTTCAGCTAAATGACATCACTAAGGTCCAAAAAGTCACCTGGAATGGGAGTTTTAGTCACTTTGCAGAAAGCCAATAGCACAGGAGCAAGGAATTCAGGGACATGGACCCAACATTACACTACTATTTTCCTTCCCTTTCCCTTTCCCTTTCCCTTTCCCTTTCCCTTTCCCTTTCCCTTTCCCTTTCCCTTAGCTTTTCCTTTTCCTCTCCTCTCCTCCCTTCCCCTCTTTTCACAACAATGACATGATTTTTGTGTGTTAACATTAGTGTTAACTCCTGGTGATTGCCTGGACTAGTTCTTGCAGGGGTTTTTTGGCAACATTTTCCCATTTTCCCTAGGGTTGAGAGAAAATGATTGACCCAAGGTCACCCAACTGGCTTCATGCCTAATGCAGAACTCATAATCTCCTAGTTTCTAGCCTGAACAGGGGTGGGTTCTACTTACCTTTACTACCGGTTCGCAACAGGGCCGTGCGCGCTCTTCTGTGCATGCGCAGAAGTGTTTTGATGACGTCAGGGTCAGTGGGTGGAGCCTCCCGCTGGTTTTACTACCGGTTCTGTAGAACCGGTGCGAACCAGGGGCAACCCACCACTGAGCCTGATGCCTTAAACACTACATCAAACAAGCATGAGAATAGCAATATTTCCAGATGTTTGTGATGAGGCAATATAGCAGACAATCCTTTCTGATACAGCTGTAACTCTGAGGCTCTCCTGGCTTCTTTCTGCTAGGACAACTAAGAAGGTGATGGATGAGAATCAAGTCCAGCTACTGCCAAATCTATGAGTTTAAGTGGTTGATTAATTAAGAGTAATTTTTTTGTCATGCTTGGATCTGAAGGAGAAAAAGATCTTTAGTCTTGTAGATCCTGCTGTACTCCATCAGCCCTTATTTAAGAGTTAGGGCAATGAGAGAAACTTTCACCTCCTTATCTATACAAAGGATTTTAATTTCACAACAAGCATCCAGTTCATCTGTTGCTTAATGGTAGGAAAAGACTATCATGCAAATGCACAGAATGGGAAATATTTACAAAGGCTCTTTATAATCAAGATGGTTTTTGAAGTTATGAGAGGGGGGAAGAAACCACGAAATACAATGAAACCATTAAAAGAGATGAACCTCAGTTTAGAAGAGAAACCATAAAGAGACACAATAATTTTAGCCAGAATGTATACATTACACTCCAATGAATTAAAATTATTTTGGATCAATTGCAGTTCTAAATGTTGACAGTTTATTGCTGTGATGGCAAACCTGTGGTACGCATGCCACAGGTGGCACACAGAGCCCCCTCTGCGGGCATGGGAGCTGTCTCCCCAGCTCAGCTCAGCTCAGTTCAGCTCTGCCATGCATATGTGTGAGCCTCCCACCGGCCAGCTGGTTTTCAGGTGTCTGCCATGCGTGCGCGGGGACAGGGTGCATGCAGGAGATCACACACACAGGGGTCACACACACATGCATGAGGTGCACACGGGGGTCGCATGCACATGTGCAGGGGCGGGTGCACACGGGGGACAGAGGAATCATGCACACATTGCCTTATGGATGTACACCCACATACAGTATGTGCGCGCTTTTGGCACTCGGTGCTGAAAAGGTTAGCCATCCCTGGTCTATTGTCTACTTTGCGACCGTATGCTTACTATCCAATACTATTTCTCAGGGTAACCTGGAGCTATAGGGGAGATCTCAAATGTTGTTCTTCCTGCTTTCTTTCAAGGCAGAAGAAAAGCAGTTTAAAAAAAGCTTCTTAAACATGGTGGTCCCCAGACTTCAACTCTCATAATTGCAGCCAAGAGGGGGACTGAATTTCCCCATATCTAACAGACATCAGATTGGGAGAGATTACTATGACCAAAACATGAGGTTAACACCATTCTTCAGAGCTGGACCTGCAAAGTGTTATTCAGGCAGGGTCTTTCTAGAGTTTTATCAATACAGATAAGAACAGGGATAATTAATAGTTCCAAAAATACAGTAGTACAGTTCTGGTCACCATCCAGTGTCCTTAAAACTCAGAAAAAATAATATTGTTCAAGACATCATATCTATTATTTTTAATATCTCTGGGTTGTGCCCTGATCATTTACCACTTCACATTGTGGATTCTCTTGCTCTAACTGCACTACAGCCTTTTATCTTATCACTTTTAGACTTGCCCATCTTGGTTATGCTGACTTCAAAAACAGACCAAGAAAGAAAAGGTTCCACCATGATGAAATTTTTAAAAGCCACTGCATTCAATCAATGCTTATTACAAAGAGTTAGAAGACTGCAGAACCCAAATAAATTGTTAGTCCATACATTGACACACCAGTAGCAGAATTCTTGACCATATTCCATACTCCTTTTTAATTAAAATCGAAAACTATAGCAAGCATTACTATAAAGGTAAAACCGAATACTCAAAAAGACATATAAGGCAGTTCCAAAGTAACTGACCTGTATTTGTGTAATATATTTTATTCTCCATTTCACATAATTATTTTCAAGATAATTTGAAAGTGAAAAGCTCTAGGCTGCATCTCAAACCTTGTCTGAGTACATCAGCATTATAAAACATGAGCAATCAAAGAAAGCAGAACTAAAACTAAGGAAGCAAATAAATAACATGAGAAATAGCTGGGAGAATAAAAAAGAACAAATCCTGCAGTACAAGAGCTCAGATAAATAAAATGATTCTTATCTGAAACTCCCAAAATGTTAGTAGGTGCAATTTGGAGTCATCGCTAGCAAATTGCTCAGCATATTCTCATCATCCACAATCCATAATTACAGCTTCATCAGAGGTCTCGTGTGGCTAGGATATTTGCATCTTTCCAGTGGTAAAAAAAATAAAAAATGCACCCCTTGAAGAAGGATTCCTACAAAAGCATTTGAAGCACATTCTTGGTTTGTCTTGCAAGACTGGAATTGTATGTCCGTATGGGGAATTTGAGAAAGCCAATTGGCAGAAATACACGGGACTTCCTCTGTGCTTTGGCATACGGATAAGCATGTGCTGGCTTTCTAATACTTATTGGGTTTTATTTGTTTCTTTCAATCCACAGTCCTTTTGATTCCGAGAACTTAATTTTGTCCCCTGGGTCTACCACCAAGTTTTCTGTGGGAAGTAGAAAAAACTCCATATACAGCTGGACTCCTCCAAACACCCCCAGCTTCCGAGAAAAATATTACCTTGTAAGTATACATGAAGTAGGATCTGTTTCTCTTCTAAAAGACATACCATAACCTATAGCCTCTTCCAGGGTCTCTTGTGAAATTAAGGCTGTTGAAACTTAAAGTATCCTGCCCAGTTCCTGATAATTCTTCATTGCTGGATTGGAATGTTATAATAAAGGAAATCTAAGTAGCAAGGGGAATATTAAACAGTTGATCTGTTAACAGGAAAGATCCACTTTTGGCAGGCTTTGGGATGGGTAGAATTTCCCTCAGCTTGATGGATTTTCTGTTTCAAACATTCTTGTAATTCTTGTTAAGAAAAATACCATTCTTTCTGCATCATTAATAGACAATTTCCCTTTAGAAAAGCAAAGTTTATCATGATGATGGTGACAGTAATTTTGATGGTGATGGTGATGTAAGCAATATCTTGATTCCGTAGAGGCTTGTTTCACAACGAAGTAATTTTGGTTGATGGAGTGGAAAGACTTGGATGAAGGGTGGGGAAGTGAAGAAAAGGGACTATATTCTTGTTTGTTCTATTGGAAAAGTTTGAGGAAAAAGGCATCAAATGATCAGGAGGTTGTGTCATTTCTTCCAACCAGGTTTTAATTTTATTCCAATATTTAAACCATTTAATATTTAATACGTATTGAATTTAAACCAGAGTTGTACTTATTGGGTATCCTACGTGACAAAATCAAAAATGAATATATTTATTTGATTTTTCATGTAATAACAGCTGCAAGAATTGTTTATGCATAAAATTGGAAATTAGAGAAAATACCTTTGGAAGATGAAGTAATAAGAAAGATTTTAGATTAACTTTATTGATCAGGAGGTTGGAGCAACAGTTACAGAATTAGTCCATTTTAGCTTTAATTATTGGCCACCAGCTTGGGTGGATTTCAAAAGAGACCAGTTAAAATTATGTTCTGTAAAACTATCCATGGTTCCTAGACGTGTTAGCTATATGTAATTTGTAGCATTTGAAAATAATATCTGTAAAAACAATTGTACTGTAATATGAGTATTAAGAGTGTTGTTCCATTGTGTTGGTATCGCTTAGTAATTTGGCTGACTACTGTTTGAATTTTTTTGAATTCAACCAGTCACCTCAAGAAGGTTGTTCTAAGGTATAAAGTCTGAAAAAAAATATTCTGGGGTGCCATTGAGTGTTACAAGAGAAAATTTTCCCCCTTTGCTAGGCTAAAACTAAACTTGATTAGAGTTAATTAATGGACCATGATAGTTTGTTATTCATAATAGCTTAGAGAAAGGACAATGAGAGAAAGAGAAGGCATACCTGAGAATGATACACTACTAATCTATATAAATAGTGAAAAAAAACCCAAAGCATACAACTGAAAGAATGTAACATTAACATTTTGAGAATAGATTGATCCTTGCTAGTTTTCATGGCAGCATTATAAAGTAATATATAATTTATAATATATAGATTGAATCTGGATATTTTGTTGTTGTTTTGATTTAGCTTAATCTACAGCCTCAGTATTATCTGAAGCTTTCTACTCAAGAACTAACCATGTCCAAACTTATTTAGCTTCTGAACTCATTACAAAAGTTGCCATGTGCTGCCACCTTCTGAGACATGTTAATTTAAGAGCTGAGCCTAACATGTATGAAGGTCAGTACAATGTTCCAAAGAGAATTGCATTTTCCACCTGTTTCCCACAGTCTGTTTTGCAACAAGGAAAGAAACATGCAAACATTAGGGAAGAGACGCAAGATTCCTGTATCCTGAGCTACTTGGCTGACTGTGATTTTAACATGCGTCTGAGGAGTGTAAGTCACAGCCTTACAGAGACAACTGAAGGAAGTTCATTTAGTTCTGAAGATCAGAAAGTGACAGAAAGCAGAAACATGACTCCGCCATCAAATCAAAGGAAGTTGCCATTGGCTATTCTGCAGAATAATTGTGCAGAAGGAGAGAAACAGGATATTTCAATATGCCAGCCTCCTGGCCACAGAACTTTAGATATCCTACAAGAGACTCCCTATGCTGAAACCTCTTTAAGTATTCCATCATGTCTGCTGGAACAAGACAAAGATGGTGGTAAGTCCATCACTCAGGACTGGCATTACCCTTCAGAGCAACAAAGAAAGATTCTCTCTGTTGAACAAAGAGACTGGAATGATGATGATGATGATGCCAAACCTACTGGAAAGACCAAGTCAATTCAGAAGATCCTACAGGAAGTATTAAATTTGCTGAAGTCACAGGGTCCAAGTCCTATTCAACTGGAGGAATTGGAATACCAGGTCTTCTGTATCCAGGACAAATTAAAGGTATTGAAATCTTCCAAGTATTTGGATTTTGAAAAGGCTGGATAGTAGATTGTAGGCTCCGAAGTCCACCAAAAGCTTAGAACCCAATAGATTAGGAAAACCTAATTTACATGTACATTGTTCTACTTATGTGCATTCGTACAAAATAGGTAAAAAATTAAAATAGATTTAATTGACAAGTAAATGTAATTAACATTCAATATAGTTAATTCAACACTTTGAGAAGAGCTCTGGTGGCTGCATTCAAGGCTTTATTTTGCAAATGACTTCTTTATTGGCAGCCTTTCTGTTATTAAAAAATTATTTTTAATGTGTTTTTGAACTATTGCCTTTCAATCAAATTACGTACTTGTAGTTCTCCTATCAAGAACTTTGCTGCCTAAGATATTTATGAATGGTCATAATTTTCATCCTTACCTCAGTTGTACTGAGAAGGTTAAATTGCAATATCTCTGAGAATCTGTATATCAGGGTTGTCAAACTTGAGCCCGTGGGCCGGATCCGAACCGCGGGTGGTGGAATTCAAATTTTTTTACTACCAGTTCTGTGGGTGGCTTGGTGGGCATGGTGTGGCTTGATGGGTGTGGCAGGGGAAGGATACTGCAAAATCTCCATTCCCACCCCACTCCAGGGGAAGGATACTGCAAAATCCCCATTCCCTCCCCACTCCTGGGGGAAGGATATTGCAAAATCTCCATTCCCACCCAACTCTGGGGCCAGCCACAGGTGGTATTTGCTGGTTCTCCGAACTACTCAAAATTTCTGCTTCCGGTTCTCCAGAACCTGTCACAACCTGCTGAATAGCACCCCTGGTGGGGTGCTTAGATCTGGCCCATGGGGCTGACCTGGAAACAGTGAAGGACCAGCCCATGTGGCCTTCCCGAGCTCCATTTTCTCTGGCAGAGGGTTGCAGGACGACATGCGCTGCCCTCCCAAGCTCCATTTTCGCTGGCAGAGGGTTTCAGGAAGCCGTCGCAGCTGAAAACAGGGCTCAGGAGCCTGTTTTCAATGACAGAGTGCTCGGGCCACCAAAGGCACCCCAACACAAGTTATTTTGAGCTGGCCATGCCCACCCCAACCCCCCGAGGTCAAACACAACCCTCATGCGGCCCTCAATGAAATCGACTTTGACACCCCTGCTGTATATGCATTATATTGTATACATGTATACAATATGTATACATGTATACATTTAGCCACATTTTTAACAACAACAACAAAAAATCTGTGATTAGAAGAAGGACTTCCCTATATTTTGTTATGGATGCTTTTGAGAACACTTATTCCCTGGATAGAATGTGTTCCTGTGCGCATAGAAATACAGCTTGCTTTGTGTCACCAACAGCCCAAAAAGTATCATCCAAAACACTCTTCCATGGAGAGTTTGATGGTAGAGACTGTGTTGGAAAGCTTTGACTTCCTCAATGCCGACTGCAGTGCTGATGAACTCTCATCCTTTGGAAGTGTAAGGACCTGCAGCACCAGGTAGATGCTTCCATACAAGGTTATTAACTGCCATAATCACACTTTATCATAACATTTTCTAGCCCTACACTGACTATAAACCGAGCCTTGAAAATAGAAAGCTGGGAGGTGGGGTAGGGGGAGAGAGAGAAAAAATTGACAACATATGCTCGGTTTACTATGGCATGTCATTTTTACCTAACTGGAGCAAGCACTCCACGGGGAGAGATGAAATAGGACAGTTTAAGCTGACTGGTCTCTGTTGGGATGGAGGGAGGAAAACATTTGGTCCAGGCCAAAGGAGTTTTCATTCAAGATTTCTTGAGTTAAATATTTGTTCTGACAGGCCAGAATAGGCTTGTGAGCTGAAGGATCCTTGTTCCTGCTGTAGGAGTTTTATAAATAAGTCAGTTTGGCTGTTTTAGTGGCATATAAGGCATAACACATGTCAAGGCCTTAAAATGGGGTTAGCCAAATTCATGAAGGTTTTCAGTATCCATTAACTCCCTGAACATAGTTGAGCGTTCAGAGGCCTTGTGCTGCCAGATATCAGTTGCTGGGAGGGCAGTTGGCCTTATGCGGCACTTATAAACTTATTAGAGGCATCTGGTTGATTACAGTAGCAATCAGAGCAACCATCTCTGATCTGAAGTTCTTGTGCTGAGTTGGGACTGACGTTCTGAAGGCTGGCCAAGAGTTGCAGTCCATTTCCAAGGTGGTGAAGGCTGAGATGGACCTCCCTGTCCAGTAAAAGCCCTTTTGAATTAGTTGTGCTCTTCTGATGTTCTATTCTTTTTTCAACATTGCTATGGGGTTTTTTTTTATTTTTATGTCCCAGAAACTTTTAATCTGATTTCTATCACAATATAAAGGGAGTACAGATAGTCCTTGACTTATAACAGTTGCTTTAGTGACTTTAGTGTTCGAAGTTACAATGGTACTGGAAAAAAGTGACTTATGACCATTTTACGACCGTTGCATCATCCCTGTTTGATCCCACGTGATCAAAATTCAGACATTTGGCAACTGGCTCACATTTATAACAGTTGCAGTGTCCTGGAGTTGTGTGATCCCCTTTTGTGACCTTCTGATAAGCAAAGTCAGTGAGTAAGCCACGTAATTTACAACCACGTTACTAACTTGACAACTGCAGTGATGCATTTAACAATTGTGTCAAGAAAGATTGTAAAATGGGGCAAAATTCACTTAACAACCACCTCAGTTAGCAACATAAATTTTGGGCCCAGTTGTGATCGTAAGTCGAGGACTCCTCTAGTGTAAATCAGAATGGGATGAAAGCTTAGTTCTCTCCACTCCTGATTTGCATTTTTGATTTGTTACGTGCTTCTTCTCTCCTCTTGTGTTTGGCACCAGCATCTACAACGATGCCACTCTTTCTTCTCTGTGCTGTGATGCCCACATGGAAAAGGAGTTAACCACAGGAAGTGATGACCTGGATAGACTCCTGGAAATCCACCTGCAACTCTGCCAGGTCCTTTTGCAGGTGAGGAATACAGTTTTAACCCAGCCAGCTAAAACAGGGGTCTGCAACCTTAAACACTCAAAGAGCCATTTGGACCCATTTCCCACAGGAAAGAAAACACCGGGAGCCACAAAACCTGAGTGGGCGTGGCCAACTTGACATCACTCACTTCCACCAGTCACATGACCCCTAGCCACGCCTACCCAGCCAGTCATTAGGGCAGAGAACCAGTTGTTAAAAAACACGGGGAACCACAAAACCCTTTTGACCTCTCTCTCTCCCCCTCTCTCTGTATCTCTCTGTCTCTGCCCTGGCTGCTTCTCCATCCCCTGCCGTCGCCCTTACCTTCTCAGGCCAAGTGAGGAGTGACTGGGAGGGGAGGGCAAGGGGAGGGCAGCCAGTGGTGGGATCACCCAACAGGGAGCCACAGCAGAGGACCCAAAGAGCCACATGCGGCTCTGGACACCTGAGCTAGAACCTTATGCTGTTTTTAGTCCCACAGAACGAGAGGCATAGTAGAATACAGTAAACTTTATAATCTGTGTTGGGGAGATTTTATGGTCTGCAAGCTGTTGAGCCATTCAGAAATCATTGCCAAATGTAAACATGTATGAATGTGACAAAAATATGTTGTGGTATTAGATCAAAGAGTTGGCCAGTGTAATATTTATTTCCCATGCAATAACCAAACAGTTGCCTCTGGGAAAAGCCCAAGCAGGATGTGAAGTCATAACATTCCTGCACATTTAATGTATACATGTGTTGCTTCCAATATATGTATATACACCACATGTTCACTAACTGAGCATTTCATTTTTCGTTTTGCTGATAACGTCCACTCTGACCTGAAGGGAGATAGAGAATCTCTTGAGATGACAGAAGGGATATCTTGAAATGGTGGCAGGAAGGGTTGCCTTGTTTTTGAGCCTGAAGGTCTCAAGGAAGAGCTCTGATATTAGCTCTTCTGCTTGGACCTCTTCCTGACCAGGTTAATGAAAACCAGGGAGAAGACTGGGAGCTGGATTCAGGCAAATAATCAGCAATTTTTTTATTTCCTTTGAGGAAAGCACATTTTAGGAGCCTTGAAAGACACTTCAGGGAGCCAGTTCTGGACAGATAACTAATGTCTCATCTCCTACTTTCTTTTTGGGGGAAGGTTGTTGAGAAAATGGTGGTCTGCAGTTACAGAGGGCTCTGGAGCAGGGGTCTCCAACCTTGGCAACTTTAAGACTTATGGACTTCAACTCCCAGAGTTCCTCAGCCAGCAAAGCTGCTGAGGAACTCTGGGAGTTGAAGTCCACAAGTTTTAAAGTTGCCAAGGTTGGAGACCCCTGCTCTGGAGGATACAGATTATCTGGACCTGTTACAGTCTGGGAGTAAGCCTGGACATATGCAGTTATCATTCTCCTGAACCATGGAAGGACTTGTATGGGGGGTGGGGAGGGGAGAGTGACTATTTTTATCCTTCTAGACCTCTCGGCAGCTTTTGATACCGCCAGTCATCCTTCTGGACAACCTACAAGGGTTGGGAATTGAGTCTGTGGATGGGGACGTACAGACTCAAACCAAAGCAAAATGGAGAGGCTGTTAGTTCCAAAGCCCTCTGCTTTCAGGATTTTATCAATTCTCAGTAGGGTTTTGCTTCCTCTACAGAGAACATTTCAATCCACAGCTTTAGCAAAAAGAGTCTTGAAACCTCTGATGACTGACAACTGCCAGCAGTTTGGCAGTTCGATTCCTATTGACTCAAGGTTGGCTCAGTCTTCCATCCTTCCCAGGTCGGTTAAATGAGGACCCAGATTGTTGGGGGCAATATGCTGACTTTCTAAACTGCTCAGAGAATGCTGTAAAGCACTATGAGGCAGTATATAAATCTAAATGTTGTTGCTACAATATTGCTACCCATGTTTTCCTGAAAACAAGACTGGGTCTTATATATTTTTTGCCACAAAAAAGGCACTAGGTCTTATTTTTTGGGGGGGGGATTCCACTGACTCACCTCACTTGCGTGCATTACCCTGGCCTCCTTTTCACTGTCAGAAGCCTTTCTTCTGCGGCCAGCTAGGCCGGCAAAGTTTTTCTGAAGGCCTCTGAAGATGATAACAGAGCTCTAGATCGATCCGGAGCTCTGTTATAGGCTACAGAGGCCTTCAGAAAAGCCTTGCTGGCTGCAGAAGAAATGGGCCAGCAAGGCAGGTGTCGGGGTGTGGGAGGCCCGGCTGCAACTGTCCGTAGGTAAGCAGTAGGGCAGCTCCACCCCCATCCCCACCCTAGCTTAATTTTTACCCGTGCCCCCCAGAGTGGGTGGGATCTTAATTAGGGCTTATTTCGGGGGTAGGGCTTATACTAGGAGCACATGTAAAAATCAAGCTAGGACTTACTTTTGGGGTAAGGTCGTATTTTCAGGGAAACACGATATATATATTTTAGGGGTATAATTGATGATAACCAATTTTGTATCTAAGGTCATGACAGAGAGCTACTACTTTGCTTGTGCTACAGCAGCAAGTACAACTCTTGCCCAGCCAGTGGGTGTCCAAAATGCTGAGTCTGCATGCTAGTTATCCACAGGATCACCACAATCCCCGGAGGAGAGAGACCAATTTCTGGAAGAGCCATGATGCTTTGACGCCTGGAGGTCCTATTCATGCTGATTCACAAACAGATCCTCTGGCGAAAAGCCTGTTGCCGTCAGCATATTTTCAATTATAGGAGTCAAAGGCTCCTAAAGCAAATGTAACAGTCAAAGAGCAGGAATAAATGTTGAGTTCTTTCAATATAAACCGTGGGGTCGCCCAAGGATTTATAAAGAGTTGAATCCTCCAAAGATTTGTAAAGGAAGAAACGCCTCTTCTCGCGTTCATAAAGCATCTGGAGTTAAACAGTAACAGTAACAGAGTTCACTATAAACATCATTTTTCTGTAGAAACGGATGATCAAAAGTGATTAAAACTATGGTTGTGCAAACAAAAAGGAATTCTGAAAGGATTTGTTTAAACTAATGCTGTGCCAAAATCCACCTTGTAATCCCTCAAAGCAGAGGTGAAATGTTCCCGGTTCGGACCGGATTGCCCAATCCAGTAGCGATGGCGGCGGGTGGTTCGGAGAACCGGTAGCAAAATCCCTGCACCCACCCCATGCCCAGCTGAGCCGCGCGATCATCAGAGGCTTTTTTTTTTTTTACTTTTAAATGCATTTTTTCTACAACCTCTTTGGCTGAAAAAATACTTTTAAAAGTTTAAAAAAAACCAAACTTCTGATGATCACACAGCTCAGCTGGGATCGTCAGAGGCTTTTAAAAGCATTTTTTTACAACCTCTTCAGCTGAAGTGGTTGTAGAAAAAATGCTTTTAAAAGTAAAAAAAAAAAAGTTGGCCATGCCCACCCAGTCACATTACCCCCCCACCACCAAGCCATGCCCCCAGAAACAGTAGTAACAAATTTTACATTTCACCACTGCCTCAAAGATTATCATAAGAATCTTCTGCTCTTTTACTTTATGAAAATTCCTTCTGAATTTCTCTTTGAAATTGTGGAGTTTTGCAGAGAGTAGAACATTCACTCACTTCCCTTGGCCCTCTTGTAACTATATATTTACAAGAAGACTCCTTTCTCCTAAAAACATTTTAGTGGAAATCTATTCTGTCTTTCGGGGGGTGGGGGTGGAATCTAAATTGAAATTGGTAGGAAAGATTTATACCATTACTTGAAAGTGCCTGTATTATTAAATGACTGCTAAATTGGCATATGTTTTCCACTAAAAGCAAGTGTAAAGTGATACCGATTGGAATATAAAATCAGAACTCTATCTCTGTCTCATGGATCTAAGTTGGCAGAGGATAAGCAGGAAAAGGATTTTGTGGGCATGTTGGATAATTCGAGGAAAATATCATACATAAATAGTGTGGAGCAAAAAATATGTAGGTGGTTCTCAACATACAACTATTCATTTAGTGACTGTTCAGTTACAAAGGAAAAGAGGGACATGATCATTTTTCACACGACTATTGCAGCATCCGCATGGTCACATGATCAAAATCCAGAGATTTGGCAACTGACCCATAATTATGATGGTTGCAGTGTCCCGGGGTCATGTGATCACTTTTTGTGATGTTCTGACAAACAAAGTCAATGTGGAAGCCAGATTTACTTAACAACCGTGTTAGTAACTTAACAGCTGCAGTGATTCACTTAATAACTGTGGCAAGAAAGTATAAAATGGGGCAAAACTCACTTAACAGTTGTCTTGCTTAGCAATGGAGATTTTGGGCTCAGTTGTCGTAAATTGAGGATTACCTGTATGAGGTATTCAAATTAAAAAAAGTTTTAAAGTTTTTAAAAAAGAGTTTTTAACGTTTTACTGTTTAAAAAAAAACCAGTAAAACTGTTGTTATCATAAAAAGATAAAGTCTCCTTCAAGAAGAGTTTGATTTTCTTTCCAGAAAAAATTAGTAAGGAAAATGCATATTTGATTATACATGTAATAACAGCTGCAAGAATTGTGTATGCTCAAAACTGGAAATCAGAGAAAATACCTTTGGAAGAAGAAGTAATAAAAAAAAATTAGACTGTGCAAAAATGAATAGATTAACTTTGATGATCAAAGATAAGGAGGAATCAGAATATTTTAAAACATGGAACTATTTTTATAGTTGGTTGGAAAAGAGATACAAATGATTGATACTATAATTATGTACAAATGATGATTATAATATTGAATTTAGAAATGAACTGTTAGAATGGTTTGGATGAATATGAAGATAGAAGAAACTTATGGAAGATGGAAAAGAAGCCTAGAAGATAACACCGAGACATCAGAGGAAAGAAAGGATTGATGTATTAAATGTTTGTCTGTCTTAAAAAAAAAAAAAAACTTTATTTGAAAAAAAAAAAGAGTTTGAATTTGGGTGATTGTATAGAATAGCCATTTTTCAGGTACTTTGATTTTTCCCAACCTAATTACTTTCCTAAGATTTCCTGGTCATTTCTCATACTAGTGCTAATTGTCATCTTGATTAGTTTTTTCAAGATTAAATAAGATCAGCTAAGTGCTGCTACCTATCGTGTAAATATTTTCGTATCTTTCTACAAAGATGTGGTATGACTACACTTGAAATAGTGCATATATTTTGGCTACCTAACCTCCAAAAAAAATATTTAGTGCTGGCAGAGGTGCATAATGGTAAAGTTATCTGTGAATATTTTTCTTTGGCCGCACAGCATAACAACTTCAAGAAGAAGAAAGTGATTTTAATTTCTGTCCGGGGTCAATAATGGTAGGCAGATTTTATTCCTGATGGCCTTGAAGGATCTTTGCAACCGGTTCAGCTGATTTTGTGCTTAGTCAAAATTACTGAATATTTATATCTCTCTCTGTCTTTTTCTTTTTGTTTCCAGAAACTCGTAAAGCCAAACTTAGCTCCAATTATCCGGGAGAACCTTTTGAAAGAAGTGTCACAACAGAAGCATGTCTTAGAAATAATTTCTGCTTTGGCTACTCCTGTGCCACGGAAAATAACTTCAGTTGAAGAGAGTAAGTTACAAGCATCCCAGGGCTTGATAGTTGAAACAGACTATAAATGATGTCTGAACTTTTCTCTAGAATCTTCATCCTTGCTGCTTCCCAACTGTTTCCCTAATGTGTTCCGTTAGATAATCATCAAAATAAGGAGCAGAATGGCTCCAGTGGTTGGGACACTGGGTGGGAGTTTAGCAAGCCCTCATTTGAGATCTGAGAGCTGCCATGGGGTAGGGTTGAGCTCTCGTCCTTCACTCCAGCTCCTGCCAGAGACATGGAAGTAGACCCCCAACTGAGTGTCCTCTGGTCAACTGTGATGTCACCAGTTAATCCTTTCAACCCAGAAGAGCCTCCGTGTTTCTGACACGACTGCAAAAAAACCAAACCAAAACCAAACCATCAAAATGCTTTGTGGTCCATCATACCCAATGGGGTACGATTGTGTAGGTGCCATGCTTTGTCTGATTTTCTTCTCCCTGGCCAATAACACCTAAAAGACCCCAGAATTAAAGAATACTTTAAAAAGTTAAAAATAACTTTGGAGGGTTGAAATCTTGGGAGATTTCCAATGTTGTGAGAGTTTAGCATTTCAGCTATCATGAGATCTTAGTGTTTTCATCTAACAACTTACGGCAAGTGGGCATAAGATTTTAGGCAAGAACACTAAGCTCGCATGACGTTTTATTAAATGTATTAAATTTGTCAAATTTATTTTATTATGGTGCTTGCAAATGGACCACCTGCAGGTTGATTTATTCATCATGTGGTCTGGTTTATTTATCCAAGCTGTGCACTGCCAGAAAAAGTCACTGGATCAATCACTGCTGTCTTCTAAGTCAGAATTCAAGGCCAAGTAATCATTTGCATAGTTGAACAACAGAATGAATGAAGAGCATTGTTCTTCTTGTTGTTGTTGTTTGTTGTTGTTGCATTTAAATGAGAGCTGGGATGGTGGCAGGTCTAACTGTAGGAGTCAGGTTGTACTCTCTGGGATCACATCTGTCAGCATTGATCATCTCAACATTGACTACGGTTTGCAGTTTGCTTGACCGCATATGGAAAAAAGCATGTGAAATCTGCAATGTCAAAAGCTAGACTAAGGCTCAAAGACTATGTGGTTTTTGCAACTACAGATGTCTTCATAATGAACAGATTTTTATTTCTGTTTCTTTGCTGCTGGGTGGGTTGGTTTCCCAGTTGTCTGGCAAAACATTTGAGACATGTCTCTCCCTTCTTTCCTTGTCGTATAATCACTTGAAATTCTGACTCATGGGGTGGGTACTTGAAGGGAATAAAAGACTAGTAGCATAATTTGGTAACATATCAACCCCAGGCAATCTGGTGCCTTGCAGATCTTTGGGGTTACAAATCCCACAGTCCCCCTACTGTTGATTATGTTGGCTAGAGCTAATGAGAGTTGAAGTCCAAAACATCTGGAGGGCATTAGGCTACCTATTCTTGATCCACACATTCCTATTTTATGTCTTTGAATGTTTGCATATATTCAAAATTGTAGTGGTTCATCTTGGCATCATCTGATATTCCATTTCCAGCTGAAAGAGAGTTCTAATTCCATTGCTAACTTCCAAAGCTGTCTTTTGCAGTTATCCAAAAAGCCAAAAAGCAGAAACACTGCTTGAAAATCTGGAGTGAATGCACTGAACAGGGAAGCATATTATTCTGTCCAGCGGAAAGATTTTGGACTCCTTTGAAATACATATTGATGTTCAAAACAAAAGAGAAATATCGACATCATCTAGAAAAAGGTACATTTTGATGTGTGGGTCATCTAATTGTTTCAGTAAATTGAACTGAAAATGTCCTTCATTTATGTTCAGAAGGTTTATTCTAGTCTGGGGTCTCAGAGTCAAATCATTGAAAAATTTGCATGAGTCCAAAGTTTACAACACTGAAGCCTTTTCATACATTGATATAGAAGTTCCTTGCGAATTAATAAAGAGGAAAAAAGGAAGAATGTCACATTTAAAAAATGTATTTACAGGTAGTCCTTATTTAGCAACCACAATTGGAACTGGCAACTCTGTTGCTAAATGACACAGTCGTTAAGTGAAATACCACATAACTGCAGTGGGCTTATGATCCTATTTCCTCTTTGGTCATTAAGTGAACTGCCCCAGTCATTAAGCAAGACATCACAATTTTACTGCTGGCTTCCCTCTTGTTTTGGCTTGTCAGTAGTCAGTGATGAGGTGCGCAAGTGGCAATCACATGACCATGGGATGTTGCGAGGGGATAGTAAATACCCATCAGTTGCAAAGTACCCAAATCTCAATCACATGACTACAAGAACACTGCATTGGTTGTAAAAATGAGGGCTAGTCATCAAGTTATTTTTTTCAGTGCTATTGTAACTTCGAAAGTTCATTAAATGAGGTGGCTGGTAAGCAATGTCTACACGTAAATATTTAAAAAAAATACATTATTGCTAGGCTTTTGCCCAGTGGTGGGATTCACTTTTTTTTTACTACTGGTTCTATGGGCGTGGCTTGCTGGGTGTGACTTGGTGGGTGTGGCAGGGGAAGGATATTGTCAAATCTCCATTCCCACCCCACTCCAGAGGAAGGATACTGTAAAATCTCCATTCCCACCCCATTCCAGGGGAAGAATACTGTAAAATCTCCATTTCCACCCCACTCCAGGGGAAGATACTGTAAAATCTCCATTCCCACCCCATTCCAGAGGAAGGATACTGTAAAATCTCCATTCCCACCCCATTCAAGGGAAGAATACTGTAAAATCTCCATTTTCACCCCACTCCAGGGGAAGCATACTGTAAAATCTCCATTTCCACCCCACTCCAGGGGAAGCATACTGTAAAATCTCCATTCCCACCCCATTCCAGAGGAAGGATACTGTAAAATCTCATTCCCACCACCCATTCAAGGGGAAGAATACTGTAAAATCTCCATTTCCACCCCACTCCAGGGGAAGGATACTGTAAAATCTCCATTCCCTCCCCAGCCCACCAATTTGCTTTCCAGCTCCTTTCTCTTGTGCAGTGCAACAAAAGAAGACCCAGCCGATTAGCTGGGACTCGATCAGCTGGGAGGCAGTGACTAAATCGGGAATGGGGCCAGCCAGAGGTGGTATTTGCCGATTCTCCAAACTACTCAAAATTTCTGCTACCAGTTCACCAGAACTGGTCAGAACCGGCTGAATACCACCTCTGCTTTTGCCCTTTCTAAAAGTAAAGGTTTCCTTTGTCCAGTCATATCCGACTCTAACATGTTCATCTCATAGAGAATCCTATAGAGAGCAAGATGTTTCATACCTGTCGAAAGGCATTTAGTAAGACAGAAAGGCCATCCCTGCCCTGCCCAGCATACAAAGCAGAAAGTGACTCGCTATAGGAACTTCTGGGAGGCTCCTGGGCCTCATTTCAGCTTGTGTAACAAAGCAAGTGGCAGCTGGCAGTTGGGGAGCACCTGTCTTCTTGTGATTCTTGCTGCCAGGGAAAGAGGAGGCAGGGATTAAAGCACTGAGCAGTGAGCTGCTTGCTTGCTAGGCATGCAACAGAAGGTCCATAACCATCCAAGGATGGAACAGATCAACTCTGCTAAACATTATGTATGTAAAGGAATCCAACAGGGCCTGCTACCTCACTGCCTTTAGGGCAGAGTGTAGTCTGATGGGTGCAAGCACAGTGCGATTTATGATACGAGTGGTGGTGTGAGCTCAGGAGGAGCAAGCAAGGGCTGCAGAACCATGCCGTGATGTATACAGCAAGCCCTGTCAAATCCTGTGGTTCCCACACACAATGGTGTAACTGAGCCCTACTCTTGCAGGTAAATTTGGATTGGTAGAAGTCTTAGATCCCTTTCCAATCTGCATGCCAGTTCAGGATAGCCAGCTCCTTCAGACCACCCTACTTCATAGTATCTTATTCCAACAGAAGGGAATATATGTAACTCGGGTTGAACTGTGGAATCTACTATATTCTGTGCTGTAGCTTCCTGTTCTGTTTTTTGGCATAAAGATCGGCCTTGGAGAATTATTATTTTTGAAAGGCTCTTATTTGACACTTTTGGCTTTTTGATAAAAATGCTAATGCTATTTTGATAAGTAATTTATTAATTTTGCAACATCAAAGTTTAATATTATATTGTTTTCCATCAAGTAAGCAGCTGTTGTTATTTATCTTGCTGCTACATAATTTAACCCTTGTAACTATTTATGTAAATGTATAATGGATTTCAGCTCAGGAAATTATAGTTTGTAGTACATTACTATAGATTGTTTTGGCACCTTATGAGTCAACTTGATGGATGGCCTATAACCTTAGAAATAGGTAAATGAAGCAGTATATTATGGTTAGAACTGAATTCATCTCATATCCATCCTCTTTAGTTTTGCAGGTATTCCTGGAACAGATAGTTGGAGGCATTTTATTAGGCAACTCAAGAGATCTTCCAGCTGAATCTGTGACATTATTCCAGTTTTACAGCTACCTGGAGAAACACCATATAAACAACTTGGAAAAATATTTGATCCGATTCGCTAAAGAAGGTAAATGAGTGGATAGATATGGAGAACCAAAATAAAATATAATTGAGTCCCAAACCTTAATGTTGAAGTAATTAATGGGAAATTTGAGGTACAAATTAAAACATCCTCTCAATCCTAGATGACCAACTCCAATGTAGCAGTTTTTCCAACTAGGTGGCAATCCTTGCTCTGAAAGGTCTTGGGAAAGGTTCTTTCTTAATGAACTTTTGAAATTAAAATAGCAATGGGCAATTCTCTCTGGATACTTTCTTCACATCTCAAGGGAAGGAATCCAAAACATGCGCTCCCACCCACACAGGTTGGATGGATAGTTTCTAGATGAAGTAGACAGTCTCATAACCAGGCCAAACACTATGAATTTTAAGGTGATAATAATCTAGATTGCTGAGAATAACAATGGCCTCTCTGCTCCTAATGTTGCTAGTAGCTAGTAGCTTTTCTATGAAAAACACATGCAGTCAAGGCCACCGAGCTAGTAATTAGCAAATATCATTGTCCGATCTTTGTCTCAGAAGCTGTGGAAAAGCTTCCCATAAGGCATTATATGTTATCCTTATTTTTTTTTCTCATCCATATCTTTTTCTGATCCACATCAGTAATACACACTGATTGGCCTGAGCATCATTGCTGCTTCCTAGTTCTGCTGCTCTTACTAACTAAGTGTATTAGGTAACTGTTTCCCAATCTTAGCAACTTCCAGATGTGTGAGTTTTGACTTTCAAAATGTTGGCCTTGTTGACTAGGAAACTTTGGAAGATGAAGTCCACTAATCTGAACATTGCCAAAGTTGGGAAACACTGCTTTAAAGCCGTGAGGATAATTCCTAAAACTGGAAAACATTAAGACTGTACTCAACAAAATAAACACAAAGCCAGTGTAGCAACATCTTTTGGGATGTATCTGTTTTAGAATCTAAATCACCTACAGATTTCTTAGAGAAGTTAATGTTAAAATTGTTTAGTACATTTACGTTCCATCTTTGTCTCATTGTGAAACTCGAGGCACATGTAGATTTCCTGGATAATTTTCAAATTGATTAAATTTATCCCTTTTAAACTTTTTAACAAGTTGATTGGATGACATCTGGTATCCTGCATTACTATTCTTTCACTTCCATCTTGAGGTTCAGAGTTATGCCAGAACTTTAGGTTGTAGTATACTGGGTCACTGACTTCAGTAAGGGATATTGACAGCTACCTGCCATGTTGGATGTACACTGTTCCTATTATAGAGGGAACTTATCATAAGTTTTCTCTCTATGTGTATGTGTGTTTTTGAGTCAACATTAATTTCTGGTGACTGCGTAAACAATCCCTGCAGTTTTCGTGGCAAGATTTGAAGAAGTGCTTTGTCAAGAGTTACTGCTAGGATGCCTAGGATGAGATTAGAACCTATGGCCTTCTGGTTTCTAGCCTGGTGTATTAGCCACTACACCAAACTGGTTATATTCAGATTTGTTGTTGGAGAATAAAACCAGAAGAGGACAGTTTTTTAAGGACCCTTTTCTGAAATTCCCAAAGGCATCTGACAAGGGAAAAAGAAACAAGGGCAGGAGGCCTTTCATTCTTGCATTCAATTTTGAATACTGTTCACCTGCCTGGAACCCTTACTGTATTTCAGACATCAATACATTAGAGAGGGTCCAGAGATATTTTCCTAGAAGAGTACTCAAATCTTCTATTTGAAATAAAATTTCCTATCCCACCAGGCTTGAAATTTTAGGTCTGGATAGCCTCAAACTACGGTGTCTATGTTCTGACCTATGCTTAGTTCATAAGATTATTTACCAAAACGTTCTACCTGTAAATGAGTACTTTAATTTCAACAGTAATAACACAAGGGCTATCAATAGATTCAAACTCAATGTAAATCGCTCTAATCTTGATTGTAAGAAATATGACCTGCAACAGAGTAGTAAATGTCTGGAACACTCTACCTGATCCTGTTGTTAGTCTCTCTAATCCCCATACCTTTTACCTTAAACTGTCTACCATGGACCTTTCATGTTTCTTAAGAGGTTCCTAAGGGGGCGTGCATAAGCGCACCAGCGTGCCTACCTCCCTGTCCTACTGTCCCCATTTATATGTAACCATTCTATGTGTTTATGGTATGTTTTGTTTTGTTTTTTTAAAATTTGATTTATATGCCGCCCTTCTCCGGAGACTCAGGGCGGCTTACAATGCGCTAAGCAATAGCCTTCATACTTTTGTATATTTATACAAAGTCAGCTTATTGCCCCCACAAACTGGGTCCTCAATTTACCTACCTTAGAAAGGATGGAAGGCTGAGTCAACCTTGAGCCTTGGCGAGATTCGAACCTGCAGTAAGTGCAGGCAGCTGAATGTTAATAACAGGCTATTAGTCTGCTGCGCCACCAGGCTCTTACTTTGCCTATTTATATCCTTTTATTTGTGCCAATTTTTTTCATGTGTCCATGTCTATGTCTATACTGTTACTTGCTTCCTTATACTTGTTGATAATAAATAAATAAATAAATACATAAATAAATAAATCTATAGAGATATTTTAATACTGATTCAGCCCCTAATAGCAATAGCACTTAAACTTATATACCGCTTCACAGTGCTTTACAGCCCTCTCTAAGCGGTTTACAGAGTCAGCATATTGCCCCCCAACAATCTGGGTTCTCAGTTTACCGACCTCCGAAGGATGGAAGGCTGAGTCAACCTTGAGTCTGGTGAGATTCAAACTGCCAAATTGCAGGCAGCCGGCAGTCAGCAGAAGTAGCCTGCAGTACTGTACTCTAACCACTCTGAATGCTCCAGTTCAACCCTCTGGAAGTAGTGTTTTAGCTTTGCTTGGAAAAATCCCTTTGTGCCTGTTTCCTTGGCGAGGGTACTTCTAGTTCCAGGAGTTAGCATAGCGGACTAATGGCTTGACTAGAAATGGTAACTCTAAGACCACATATGGTTTCAGATTTCAGATTGAATCTCCATTTTTAAAAAGCAATTATTTTGCCACGGCCCCGACAATAGTAATTGTTTTTCTGAGCCTCTCTACTTATGGCTGAATTCTTTTCCTCCAGTAATATTGACAGAGGACCTGCAACGTCCTGGGAGAATGAAGAAAATAAAGAAGCTGAAAGGGAAGCAGCTGAATCAGCTGGAACCTCTGCCTCAGACCTTACGGCTCCTTGCGGTCCTGCAGCTTGATGAGAATCATCGTATAGGCAAAGCAGCCACATTGTGCCTTTCTCGTGCAGCAGCCAACAGGAATTTCAGGCAAAAAGTAGGAGCTTTCCCCTTTCCTTAGAATGTCCCACTAGTTGCACCCTGGGAATATATGCCTCTCTATGCATTTCGGTAGCTATAGTATGCAGGAGGTCTGTCCATGGCAGTATAGAATAGAATAAAAGAGTTGGAAGGGACCATGGAGGTCTTCTAGTCCAACCCCCTGCTTGGGCAGGAGACCCTACAGCACTTCAGACAAATGGTTATCCAATCTCTTCATAAAAACGTCCCACGCTGGAGCATTTACAACTTCTGGAGACAAGTTGTTCCACTGGTTAATTGTTTTAACCATCAGGAAATTTCTCCTTAGTTCTAAGTTGCTTCTCTCCTTGATTAGTTTCCACCCATTGCTTCTTGTCCTGCACTCAGGTGCTTTGGAGAATAGCTTGACTTCCTTTTCTTTGTGGCAGCCCCTGAGATATCAGAACACTGCTATCATATCTCCCCTAGTCCTTCTTTTCATTAAACTAGACATACCCAGTTCTTGCAACCGTTCTTCATATGTTTAAGCCTCCAGTCCCCTAATCATCTTTATTGCTCTTCTTTGTTGAACTGCTTTGTTGGCAGTGGCTCTCAATGTAGTACCATGTAAACCCCAGCCAGTATAGGTACAGCTAGTCCTTGATTTACAACAGTTCATTTAGTGACCATTCGAAATTACAACAGCACTGAGAAAAGTATCTTAAGACCATTTTTCACACCTACAACTGTTGCCACATCCCCCATGGTCACATGATCAAAATTCAGACACCAGGTAACTAACTGTGACAGTTGCAGTGTCCCAAGGTCGTGTGATCACCTTTTGTGACCTTCTGACAAGCAAAGTCAATACGGAAGTCAGATTCACTTAATAACCACGTTATTAACTTAACCTCAGTGATTCACTTATCAACTGTGGCAAGAAAGGCCATAAAATGGGGCAAAATTCACTTAATAAATGTCTCACATGGCAACAGAAACGTTGGACTCAATTGTGGTTGTAATTCAAGGACTATCTGTATTCTTTATGCACCTGGAACAAGTGCCCGTAATGTAGTGATTTATTCTTTTTATCTTCTACAGATCTCCTGCTAACATGCATCACTTCCTTCCTCCATGTATAATTTTTATAGTAATCTAGGTCAGGTAAACTAACTCGAGGGAAGGTGTTTTGTTCAGATTCAGGAACTACATGACGAATCAGAGATAGAATAGAATAATAGAGTTGGAAGAGACCTTGGAGGTCTTCTAATCCAACTCCAAGCAGGAGACCCTGCATAATTTCAGACAAATGGCTGTCCAATCTCATCTTAAAAACCTCTAGTGTGGGAGTGCCTACAACTTCTGAAGGCAAGTCAATCCAATCTTGCATCTTCTTTCAAAGCCCAATACTTTGAGCCAGCTTTCCTTATCCCAGATTCCGTGAGTTACATTCCCATGATTTCCTACTATCACTAAGAATGTGTTGAACTGGGAATTAAAAGATTTATAGACCAAGTATTTACAGGGTAGAGCCAGATTAAAGAAAACCAGTGTTTCTCAACCTTGGCAACTTGAAGGTGTCTGGATTTCAACTTCCAGAATTTCCCAGGTTGAGAAATGCTGTCTCTTTATTTGCAAAGGAAGGACAAAAAGCAGGATCACATATAGGCCTAGAATTCTCTTTAAGTCTGTTAAATTACAATTTTTTCCAGCTTGGTGCTTTTCAGATGTGTAGGGATTACAACTGAGAGGGAATTTTGGGAGTGGTGGTTTTAGTGTATTTATGCTAAAGTATTTTTTTTAAAGAAGAAATATTAACAGCCTTGTTACATTCTTTTTACTACAGGCTCTTCCTTTTTACACAGATCTCTTAAGCAACAATGATGCCAAACTACAGCAAGCCGCTTGTCTAGCCCTCAAAAACCTCAGAGTGAGTGCTTTTAAAGAACTCTTTAGACCAGTGGTTCTCAAACTGTGGTCTTGCGGGGGTGGGGTGGAGGAGTGAATCAAATAAATGCTTTAAAATTTCTCAGTCTTCATTTCTAATACAGTAAATACTGATAGATATGACAGTTCAGTGCTTCGAATCCTTAGTGCTGCGTAATGGGGTGAGCTCCCGTTACTTGTCCCAGCTTCTGCTAACCTAACAGTTCAAAAACACGTAAAAAATGCAAGTAGAAAAATAGGGACCACCTTTGGTGGGAAGGTAACAGCGTTCTGTGCGCCTTTGGCATTTAGTCATGCCGGCCACATGACCACAGAGACGTCTTCAGACAGCGCTGGCTCTTCGGCTTAGAAACGGAGATGAGCACCGCCCCTAGAGCTGGAAACGACTAGCACGCATGTGCGGGGGCACCTTTACCTTTATCATTTTTAAGAATGTAAAAGACCAAAAAGTTTGAGAACCTCTGCTCTGCAGCATGCTGGCTGGGAAAATTCTGGGAATTGAAGTCCTCACATCTTAAAAGTTGCCAAGTTTGAAAAACACTGCTTTAGAATGTGCCAAAGTGCTTTTTCAAGAAGCAACTGGACTTTCTGGTTTTTCTTTGGAGGTGTTTTGCTTTTTGCTTCTTCAGCTCTTCTCGGATGAGAAGCGAAACATCTCCAACGAAAAACCAGAAAGTCCAGTTGCCTCTTGAAAAAGCACCTTTGGGACAACCATGACCTGGATGACTGAGAATCTCCATAGACTCATTTAGATTAGAATATTCTTAGGGAAAGGGACTATTTGAACAGGTTTCATCAACAGCCAGCAGAGGGTGTCCAAATTCTTCCTCAAGAGAATTTAAGGCATGTTGTCTGTCCTTGGAATCCTCCTAAGGGCTCCACTAAAGGGTATTGGTCACATCGCTCCTGTCCTGATCTGGGATCTTATGGTTATTCTGTGATCAGGTCATCTATTGGCCTGGACCCCAGAACATTCACTATTTTGCCTGGCTGTAATCTCAGTGTAGACTTTTTTTGGCCAACTTTAAGCTGTGGAAATCAGTAACTTCCTTTCAAGGTCCAGTTCATTGCATATAACACTGAAAACCTTTGCAGACTGTTTAGCCTTCACTGAAATCACGGTTCCTGATAATCAAGCAGAATTTTTATAGCATTGCAATATGGGCAAAAGGTCCTTGTTGGCTTTTTTAGAAAAGAAATCTAACTGCTGTATCCAATGTTTTGTTTTAGAGGGCCAAATCCAGAAAAAGGACAAAAAGTAAGCAGGGAGAATAGAGAGAAGGACAAGAGGTAGCGGTGGGAATAAAATTAGTAACTTTCTGGGAAGTTAGTGCTATTTTGGGATTGAAAATGCTTCCACCCACCCCTCCTGCAGCTGTTTTGCAAGAGAACTGGCAGAATGATCTCAAAATTCCAAATGGACCCATTTCCCCTCCACAAAGTTGGAGAACTGTTTAGGTCAGGGGTCTGCAACCTTAAACATTCAAAGAGCCATTTGGACCTGTTTCCCACAGGAAAGAAAACACCGGGAGCCACAAGACCTGAGTGGGCATGGCCAACTTGGCATCACTCACTTCTACCAGTCACATGACCCCCCCCCCCAGTCACGCCTACCCAGCCAATCATTAGGGCAAAGAACCAGTTGTTAAAAAACATCGGGAACCACAAGACCCTTTTGATCTCTCTCTCTCCTCCCCCCCCGTCTCTGTCTCTACCCTGGCCGCTTCTCCTTCCCCGCCGTCGCCCTTACCTTCTCAGGCCAGGCGAGGAGTGACTGGGAGGGGAGGGTGAGTGACGGGGCCAGCCAGTGATGGGATTATCCGACAGGGAGGCACAGCAGAGGGCCCAAAGAGCCACATGCGGCTCTGGAGCCACAGGTTGCTGACACCTGGTTTAGGTAATAAAATTTGCACTTAGAGGCATTTGGTATAGGTGTAGCCTAGAAACCAGGAGACCTCTCTTAGGTATGAAAGCCAACTGGGTAACTTTAGGTCAGTTATACCGTCTCAGCCCAACCTACCTCACAGGACTGTTGTGGGGAAAATAGGAGAATGTAGGAATATTTAGGTATGTTTGCCTCCCTTGAGCTGTATATAAACAAGGCAGGATAAACATGTACCAGGCAGTCCTTGACTTACCATAGTTTGTTCAGTGACTGTTCAAAGTTACAATGGCACTAAAAACAATGGCTTATGACCATTTTAGCACTTATGATCATTGTAGCATGGGACAAAATGGGACAAAACTCACCTAGCACCTAGTCTCCCTTAGCACCTAGACTAGCACCTAGTCTCCCTTAGCAACAGAAATTTTGGGCTCAATTGTGGTCGTAAGTGGAGGACTACCTGTCTTGGTAAATTATGATAGACCAAGAGCATGTGATTGGCTCTTGCTTCTGGCTGTTTCTGGTTTGCAGTCCTAAACAGTGGCCATTCTCTCGTCTGGCTGATGTGTTACAAACTGCCAGATCGCTGATTGTATTGCTGTAGCTCAGGGGTCTCCAACTGGGCAACTTTAAGCCTGGTGGACTTCAACTCCCAGAATTCCCCAGCCAGCTTTGGCTGGGGAATTCTGGGAGTTGAAATCCACCAGGCTTAAAGTTGCCAAGGTTGGAGACCCCTGCTTTAGCTTTCTGAGCTGGAGAATGGGCAGAAGCAGAGCCTTAAAAAAACAAAGATGCAAATAACATTTTCCTTCGAAATATACTGGACTTCCTTTCTTTACAGAAGGCCATACATTTCAGCTTACTGTAGCCAGAGGTTAGCTATTCTCAAAGAGATGCATTGGGGTTAAGAATTGGGAGAAATAACTTAAACACGGATATTGAAATGTTTCTTTTATCAAACAGGGCATTGAAAGTCTAGAGCAAATTGCCACACTCTGCCAATCAGAAACGGAGGAAGTAAGGACCACTGCCAGAGAAACAACACTTTCTTTTGGTAAATGCTTTCACGATTCTCTGCTTAGTGATAATGAATAGCAAGTCCTCGTTTAGTGATCACAAATGGATGTGGCAACTCTGTCATGAAGTGAAGCATCACTGAGTGAAACCATGATTATATTTATGATCTTACTTCAGTTTTCCTTTGCTTTACATACCTGCAAAGCTTTATGGCTAGGCTTTATAGACCTAAAAATGGAATGGAATGGAACAGAACCGTTTATTGGCCAAGTGTGATTGGACACACAAGGAATTTGTGTCCTGTGCATAAACTCTCAGTGTACATACAGATATCAAAGAAAATATAATCATAAGATACCAATAAGAGACAGTAGAACAAAAGATGAGAAGGATAATAGTAATATAGTCGTACTACTTGGGTAAATATCCATATATGTAAGACATTACTGTGGGACTTAGGTGTTCAATCTAAGACAAATTCCTTGTGTGTCCAATCACACTTGGCCAGTAAAGAATTCTATTCTGTTCTGTTCTGTTCTGTTCTGTTCTGTTCTGTTCTGTTCTGTTCTGTTCTCTTCTCTTCTCTTCTCTTCTCTTCTCTTCTCTTCTCTTCTCTTCTGTTTTAAGTTTTAGCGACCTAAAATAGGTAGTAGCTAACTGATGATTACCTGTAAACTAGTAAGTAAAAGAAGTGGAGCTTGTAGAGTTGATCCTCTTAGTGAGCGTGGGTGTTGCACCAGGGTGTAAATATTGCTTGCTCTAAAGAATTGATTTGCCTCTTGCCATTGGATTTGCCACATCTTTTAAGTATCTTTTTTTTCTTATGCCAAATCTAAAATTCTCTCTGCCATCTCTTCTGCTGCCCCTCATACTCCAAGTTCCAGTTTCAGATTCTTATATGTGTGAAAGCAAATGGGAAGCAAACATGCTGTGAAGCAGCATTGTTGTGGTTGTTCTCTCTCTAATCCCAAGCATTGTTCTGGACCCCATAAACACACCAAAGACATTTAGAATACTAAATACTAGGAGGTTGCAGTCCATTGTTTTCATGGAAGTGTATTCATTTCAGAAAGAAAGCTGTAAATGATGGAGACCAGTGGTGGGTTCCTCCCGGTTCGGCCCGGTTCGGCCGAGCTGGTAGCGGTGACGATATGATGTCACTGAACTGGTTCTCTTTGTTCGGGAGCTGGGGCCCCCCGCCCCCCCCGCATTATTCTTACCTTTTATTTGGCCCCGCCCCCAATTTTTCGCTGCCTCCCGAGTCCTAGCTGATCGGCTGGAAGGAAAAGAACTGTTTAAACTCTTGCCGCGGGGCTTCAAAGGATCGCCCTACAGCTGATCAGTGTTAAAAGGCAGTGTGGTGGTAGATCAGTGCGCTTGAAAAACAAATGGGTAGACCGGGACGCTCGAAAAACAAATGGGTAGACCAAGACACTCCAAGAACAAATGGGTAGACCGGTACAGCTCTACAAGCAGTTAAAAGCCTGATAGACCAGTACCTCTGCTAAATCCTAAAGAATTGTCACATGACCATCAAACCACACCCACAAAATAAGCCACGCCCACAGAACCGGTAGTAAAAAATTTTAGAACCCACCCCTGGTGGAGACTATACAACAAAGTTAAAGGACACAGCAAGGAGCAACTTCATTAGTTTGGCTCCTGCTAATTAGGTGTTTAGTGCTAGTCTTTACCTCATAGGCAGTCACTTAGAGGGCCCATTACAAAAACTGGACACCCTTGCTTTATTATTTTGTTTTATTATTTATCACATTTTGAAATTACCCCTCTCAGATGCTCGCTTCAGCCAATATGGTCAAACTTGATGGGAATTGTACTCCAATAACATATGGAGGCTCACAAATTTTCCTTCTTTCCTCAGTACCCTGATTCGGAGGTTAACTTCTGCCATTCTAGTAAGCCTGATTTTGTCTACCAATTCAGGGATGACATTTTGATGACAGATAGGAATTATTTTGTCTTAGTGCAGCTGGTGCTAGAAAGAAAACACAAACTGCCTTCTATTCACTAATATAGAAATGGGGAACTAAATGCTCTAGCAGCTGTGAAACCAGATAAGTTTTTATTTACTTATGGGATTTACTCCCCACCTTTCACCTATCTGTTATAACAGATTCAAGAAAGGAGAATTGATGGTTGGGCCTCTTTTGATAGCAACAGTGAAGGAAATTGGATAACCCAATTTACAAGCTATTTACTATGTAGCACTTGAAAAACAACTGAAATGAAGTTGCAAATCTACAGAATTAATCAATGGGCTTTCTCCAGAAATTTGCTTTGAGTGGTCACTTGAAGTAATTTTCTTAACTTCCTTTTAAAACCAGAAATTTGCTTTGAATGGTCACTTAATTTTCTTAACTTCCTTTTAAAACCATGTACTCCTTACTGAACTTTATAAAATTATCCAGTTTGGGATTATAACCAATGCGGAATGTTAGAACTATAATTATTAGGTGCTTGCAAATAACTTCTTGGCTTCCATCGGGTTCTCTATTCCACCTGACTTACTTTTTAAAAGAAGATTTAAAAGTCAGTGACGAGTTGATGTGCCAGGTTTATTCCCAAGAATAACTTTGGAGCCAACATCAGCATTCCTAGAAAATAAACCCAGAAGAAAGCTGTAGTTTAATTCTTGGCTTGGTATCTGCCTTTCTCTTGACTTAGAACAGCCTTTCTTAGGAAATATGGGTGACCCCAACCCTGTTGGTCTTCTGGGAAGCCATGAAGACCTAAGTTTCCATCCTGAACCAGTAAGTTCTGGCATTTATGGATTTTTTAAAAAAAATTGATTTATATGCCGCCCTTCTCCGGAGACTCAGGGCAGCTTACAATGCGTTAAGCAATAACCTTCATACTTTTGTATATTTATACAAAGTCAGCTTATTGCCCCCACAAACTGGGTCCTCATTTAACCTACCTTAGAAAGGATGGAAGGCCGAGTCAACCTTGAGCCTGGTGAAATTCGAACTTACAGTAATTGCAGACAGCTGGTGTTAATCACAATGCTTTTAGTTTGCTGAGCCACCAGGCCCTGTGGCTCAGCAGGATGTTTGGGGGCATTGTATGATATGAGACATGAGAGTGATTAGTCTAGATTATGTTTCATGTTCATATCTTTGCTCACCATCCAGAGTGCCTCTGCTTAGATAGATTACCATATACATTTGTTTCATACATCAATAAACTGAAACCAAACAGTTTTTCTATATCCAATAAAGGGAAGGGCTGGAGCAATATCTGTCTGAACGTGATTGAGAACATCTGTCCTAGCAAAGATAGCTATGGAGTATCTGGAAAGAGAGGACCATTGATGCCTCAAGAGAATATGGACTACCAGTCCCAACACAGTTGCATTAGTTATGGTTACTTTCTGTTTTTCTTTGCAGGAGAAAAGGGAAGATTGGCTTTTGAAAAAATGGACAAAATATGCTGTGAACTAAGAGAGGCTATATACCAAGAAGCTGAAATTGAAATTACAATATTTTGAACAAGATCTTCAAAGGAGGACCCAGGAGTTAGATGCTACAGTAAAAAGGAGTCTTCCAAGAAAAATGAAAAGTTGAATGCCATTGGAAAATGTAACAAACCATAATTACAAAGATTTTTTAAGCATCCACATTCTAGTTTTAAATATAACTAATATTACACTTGCACTATATTTGGGTGCTGAAGATGTATAGTGAAACCCAAAACACCATTTTTGGATTCGAGGAATGAGATTGGAGAAGCTTCTTTTTGGTTAAGTGTCCCTCTTTGGTTTCCATTCAAGACAAATATTTATCTTCTCTGACACAAGAGGAGGCAGACTATTTTATATATATTTATTCATTTAATTCTTGTAGACCAAGATTTTCAAATGTAAAGTTCTAAAATTATTAGCTTATTGCAGCAAATTAACTTGTGGTTGCCTTCTAGTTGCCTTCTCCCTTCAGAGCAGATCTCACGGAGACCTTAAGCCCAGAGGTGGGTGTCACATAATATAACAACCAGTTCGCACAGAACCAAAAATGTGAGTGTGTGCTTCGTTTGCACACGTGCCTTCCACACATGAGCACAGCATCCAACACACAGCGATTATATAGGATGGGATAGCGCCGAGGCTATAATTCGCCCGAACTGCTCCGAACCGGCAGCAGCCCACCTCTGCTTAAGCCTACACCAAAGGGCAAAAGTTGAGTCTGATCATTTCAAATTTTAGTCATTTTGTTTTTATATAAAACATCCTAGGGAAAACACATCTCCCCTGCCCTCCCCCCCACAAGGCAACTCATTCTTTGATTTGGGGAGAGGGGCATCTGCAAGGCTTTTAAAAAACATGGTGGCTACAGCTGGATTATTGAAGCTTATCCTGTTTTTCTTTGTATCATATGCACAAGGCATGTGAAAAAGCAGACAGGGCTCTGTACATAGAGTAAAACTCAAAGACAGAAAATTCTTGGATTTGTGGACTGAGATTGGAGCTTTACGAATAGTTGTTGGTCATCCCTGCAGCTTCCATTTAAGAAGAATATTACCATGTTCACATTTTTGACAGACCTTCTCTCCCTCACTTCTTCCTCTCACCTCCACTGCACCTGTTTCCTATTTCTACTTATCCAACTATTTGAAGAGCTATGGTGGTATGGTGGTTAGAATGCAGCATTGCAGGCTAACTATGCCCAACGTCAGGAGTTCGATCCTGATGGAAGCTTTCCATTGTTCCGAGTTCAGTAAAATGAGTACCCAGGTGGTTGGGGGAAATATGCTGACTATGTAAACTGCTTTGGGAGGGCTGTGAACCACTCTGAAGGGGTATATAAATCTAAGCGCTATTCTGACGAAGGACAGGCATCCAGCCAGTAAACACTCAGTTCCATTCAGTCATTCCAATTTTATCCTCAATTGAGGAATTACAGGATCGGAAAAAGGGGGAGTTACTTATCCATCCCTTGAGTGGATATTTCCATTAATGAAATTTGAGTACATTGGAGTAAAATTAGTAGAAAAAAATCCAGGCATTTAAACATCTGTAGACCTTCATCTGTCTTCCCCAGAAGGACATGATAATGGTTGACCATTCCAAATGTACAAGTAGGTTTTCATCACTTAATCAAAATCCTTTTATACAGTATATTTTGCTCTGTATTTTTCAGTATTTATTGCTAAGACTAGTTTGAATATTCAGTTTTTTAAAAAAGATTTTATTAAAATATCTGAAAAAATATTTTCATTTTCAAGTGGTCATTTACATAACATTCAACAACAAGATGAAACGAGAATTTCAGGGAAGAGTCAATTTCATTTGGGTAAATTTTTTTGACTTTAAGATGCTGGAGAAGAGACAGAAATTAAGCACTTAGGGAGAAGGTTGCAATGGATGGAAACTATGGCATGAACTGGGCAGGCCATAATATGCTTGTATGCATATTCTCAATTGTTCCAGATTGGATCCTTTGTTTTTATTTTTATTGGGCTAAACCTATTTCTATGTACTACATAGCAATCTTAGTAAGTTTTTCTCCTTCAGGCCAGTACGTTTTTGGTGGTTGTTTTGCTAAACAATGGCAATGGAATGTGATAGTCATTTTAACTCTTGATGACTGCATGGAGAAGTCTATGAAGTTTTGTTATTTGATGATCTTTGTTTTCAGAAGTGGGTTGCACTACTTTCTTCCTAATACTGAGGGAGGGCCAATCTTAAAGTCATCCAGTAGACTTCATGCTTAAGGCTGGATCAGTTCTCAATTCACTGCCTTTAACTACCGCACCAATCTGGCTATTACCAGGATTGTTGTTGTTTTTTTTAAAATCCACCATTCCACACTCACCAAATAATTATATACTGGAAGAGTCTTGACAAGTTTAGACCTTCAATTTTGCATTCAGCCTTTCTGGCTAATATTCTCTAGAACAGTCTTCTAGGAGTGATGTTGGCACCTCTCGAAGGGCAATTCCATGAACGAGTCTGTGAAATTATCGATACAAATTCTATTGACTATCTTACCAGGTTGTTTTTTCAGCAAGAGCCTCCTTTGTGAAAAGCTGCAAATCTTTACAAACTCTGAAGTCTTTTCTAATTTCTGCCTCTTGCTAAACAAGCATTGTGTGCCCACTCCCCCCGCCATGTCTTTCCTTTTTATTTATTTTATTTATTTATTGGTTTGATTTATATGCCGCCCTTCTCCGGAGACTCAGGGTGGCTTACAATGCGTTAAGCAATAGCCTTCATACTTTTGTATATACCTGCTTAGTAGGGCTTTCAGGCCCCCCTAAGCGGTGTTCTTTTTTATACAAAGTCATCTTATTGCCCCCACAATCCGGGTCCTCATTTTACCTACCTCGAAAGGATGGAAGGCTAAGTCAACCTTGAGCCTGGTGAGATTTGAACTTGCAGTAATTGCAGGCAGCTGGTGCTACTTAACAGCACTATATAAAGGTTCAATGTAAAATCTTTTTCACCAATTAAAGTATTTATTAATGTATGAGATTAGGAGATTGCTAATCTCTTACCACAGCAAAGGGGTTAAACCCCCATCCTAATCAAGCATAGAATTTTTCCTCACAAGTGCCTACCAATTTATGAGAATTGGCTAGCCTGCAATTTCAAGGTAAAATGATTAAAATTTCCCACGAAGACTAAAACATGCTTCCATGAGGAGCTTTTGCTACTGCCATTGGAACAATTTTTTTTTTAAAAAAAGGAAGCGGAGAAAAATCAGACAAGTGTTTCTTTACAAAAGAATTTTTATTGTTGCAGCTAAAATGAGAACTGAAAATTTGTATGGGAAGTTGAAAAACTGTACAGTTTTACTGAAACTGTAAGGTCACTGCAGCGCCTTACGTAAGAGACAATATACCTGAAAATGTATTATACCAAAACATTTAGCTTCTTTTTATTTTATTTTATTTCTTTTCTTAAAAAAAAGTCTTCTATGGCAATTGGTAAAAAAAGAAAGACCTGATGAGTAAATATTTTGCTTAAGGCATATAGCAGAGCAGCTCACTAACTTTCTAACAAGTTTAAACATGGATATTTCTTTTCCTTTCCCCTCCCCAACCCCTCCCAAGAATAGGTTAACCAATACATCCACTTTGAAATGCTACTGTATATATACACACCCCAAACTACTACATTACATGTACAAGGACATCAAAACAAAATGCTTACAGTTCAGCATGACAAGCCGTATCCACACCTCGCTGAGCTTTATCGGGGCTTTCTACTGCATTTCTTACAGCACTTCTATTCCACCCTTCTTATGCTGGTCTACGACCATAACAAATATTTGATTGGATACAGCATTTATTTTGTTCAAAATGATCAAGGCAAATAGTGATGCTGGCGGACTGGAGAGGAACATGGTAATCAGAAGAGATTTCTTGGCTGTCTTGGGACAACAAAAAAAGTAATTTAGTTCTCCCTGACAGATTAAATATAGTACAATCACGTTGCTGTGGAGATACATTCTGAAGTTGACCATGTCGTTGTGGAAGAGAGAATACAATTCTTTCATCAAAGAGGTTTTTTTTTAAAAAAAAAAACCAAAATCCCTTTATTTATTTTTAATGAAAAGAACAGATTTTCAATTCTAGTTTCATTCCGGTGATCTTTGTAAATAACTGTTTCCTTCGGACTCTCAGAAGACAATTTAATATATCTTGGCATAGGGGCGTCTCTGGGGAATAAAAATGGTTAAGATGGTACCTGCGCCTGTATGGTTGAACCTACCTCCCCCTTTTTTACATGTGTCACACACATCAAAAGGAGGTGGGCCTTCAATTGATTGGTTGTGGCTGCCATCTTGACATTTTTGATCCCTCCTGCTGAATGCCCCTGTCTTGGCACTTCACGTTTCAGCAATTTGCCATAGAAAACTAGGGTGCGTGAGAGAGAGAGGTGTGAATATGGCTTTGTACACACTCTGGAATGTTTGTACTATAGTTACTTGATTGAAATGAGTGCTATACAACTGGTTTAGATGGTGTACATAGAAAAACTGCCAAATAATAGGCAAGATACAGGCAACCAGGCTTCTTTTTAAAGAGAACACACACACCTACCAATCTTTGAGCTGAATGAAAACACTTCAGCGACACCCTTGGAATCACAGCCATTTAAATAATCAGATCATGCAAGTATAATTGGGCACATCAGAAAGCAGAAATATAAAAAATTATGTTCACCTTTTAAGCACATGGATTTCAATCAGGACACTTTTAGGAGACTTTATACATGCATTTGAATAAAAATGTGATACAAATGCGTCTGAATAATATTCTACTGGATGACGGAACGTGAAAGGGACAAAGCAATCACATACTGAGTAGCAAAATACATAGATGAGCCATTATATATTATGCCATTTTCTATAGTCATGTCAATATTTTCATGTTTCCAATATTATTACTAAGTATTGACTGCTTAACAAAATTCCTCTTTCTCACAGGTAAGGGCTGTAAGTTTTCCAGGACTACCTATGAATGTATTATTGTTGCTTTGAAAAAAAAAAACCCTTGATACTAGCCTCATTTTGAAATTGTTCTTTCAACTCCACCTTTTCTTCCTTCCCCTTCTCCAAGACCTTTCTTTAACATCTCATTTGTTTAAAGAAGAAAAAGCTAACTTTGGTCAGAATTGAGGAGTAAAATAAATATGGAGTGAGAACCCTGATATACTCTATCATGGATTTTTAAAAAGAGATGATACTTAAGTGCTATAATAGGTAGAATATAGAACTTCCAAATAACTTGCACTGTAGATTGGGTGTCATTTTGTTAATGGAACAGCTGCAACTTCAGTACTTTTTCTCCTCTGTAACAAGGTTCCCTTTTGTTATTTATATTGCTTATAAAAAGGGGAAGGGGGGGATTATCAACATCAGCATACTTCCCCAGTCGTAATATTTATGAACAACAAAACACACGATTGGTCAATTTTTACTCTTTTCTTAGCAGCTACAGTCATTCAAGCTAAGCTGTACCTAAAATAATAAAATAAAATACAAACCAATTCTCTCTTCAACTTCATATGGAACAAAAGGATTTGTTCTGAGTTAGGGTGCAAACTTCCTCTTCAGCAGAGGCAGAAGGCTCACGGATAAAGCAACCAATCTTATGCATCTGAATTAACAGTCAGAATCATGGAGTTCATTCAAGGATGCGTTAAGATTGCAGCCTTAAACCTGGCTCCTAAACAGCATGATCTTTAAGCCAAATAAAAGCTAATCTTGGAATCTTTGTTCTAAAAACAACACTGAAAATCATCAACACAGTGGTTTGTAACAGGAAAAGATCGAGAGAAAGAGCTGGCCCAGCACTGAGTTTTGCTGAGAAACATTGCACTGGATCTTTAGGATAAGGAGGACTGCATGTGCGTTAAAAGAGTGATGATGATGGTTTTAAAATGGTTCCTCTTTTATTCTGATTACGGCATAGGACATTCTTCAGATGGTAAGTCTAGAATGAGATTGCATTTTACATTCCATAGGATGACAAGCTTACACGCTGGTCCTTTTCTAAAGAAAGTATCTGGTATAAATGCTGGTGGACATTCTGCTTACATTTCCCTTCCCCCTTCTCCATAAGGATAGGAAACTATATACAAAGTTAATTTTTTTTTTTTTAGGAAGTCGATCGTGCAATACAATGGGCAGAAATAAAGAGTGCAAGAGATGATTGACAACATAGCAATGAGCACTGATGGTGAGTGGGGAGAGGAATCACTCATTTTGTCCAAAAAGGAGGGAGAATATTGTAGCATTGACCTGTTGGGATGCCCTGAGAAAAAGCGGTGCCCGTTTATAGCATGTTACTGAAGCAAGAACCTACTTGAGAAAAATAAAATACATCCCATATTATTTGCACTGCCAAAAAACCCAGGGTGCAATCCAATTGAGCATGTCCAGTCTCCAGTCATTCACTGGAGCTCCTGAGCAACATCCAAATCGATTAAGAGGCTATGCATAAGTGGTTCTTTAGACTGAGCCATCAGTCCTTAAAAAGGCAAAGAGTGAAAAGCTCCCTCTCTCTCTCTCTCTCTCTCAAAAAAACTGTACATTCTTCAGGGGTGTGTATCTGTGTATACAGTGGTTGTTGAAAGGAATACGATCGTGTATTGGGTTACAAATGCTTGGAGAACATAGGCAATGTTCACTTGTGCCTAGTTCCTTTTTTCTGAAAAAAACCACCAAAAGAACAACAAAGGTACCCCCCTGGCTTTAAAAT